AATCATCAAAATGAAAGTCTGAACATGGAAGTCGTTGTTATCGAATCGAATGCCTCACCCACGTAACATCGAAGTCGAACCCCAGCGTTTTCTATCTCTCTCCCAGCGAACCTGCAAATGCGATTTACAGTCTAAGATCAAGAAATGATGAGATTATTTCCACGCAGGAACTTATCTTTCATCAACAACCGATTCGTATTAACTTATCAATCAAGAGAATCTTCTTCAAACACCTCACAGATCAATGAGGAAACAGTCGGAGAAATCACAGCCATTCTCAGGAACCGCAACTGGCCTCTCCTCCTAAATTCCTCACCTAATCTTCTGAAATCCCTAAACCCAGATGTGATTCAATCTGTTCTTCACCAAAACCAACGTGCTGACCCTAATCGTCTTCTCCATTTCTTCAATTGGTCGATTAATCAAATTGGTACTCCTCAAAACCTAAAATCTTTCTTGATTCTCGCTGCGGTTCTTTGTAACTCCAACCAGTCAAGACATGCTGGTATTCTGTTAGGGCAAATGATTGAAACCCGGAAGCCGGTTTCGGATATCATGGAATCAATTGCTAGTTTTTGTGTGGAGGGCGAGGGTTTAAACTTTGGGTCTTCCTTATATGGAATGATTATTTATGCTTATAACAACAAAAGAATGTTCGATGAAGCTGTTTCTGTTGTATCAGGTATTAACAATAGGAATCATTTTCCAGATTCTTCTTGTGTTAATTCTATGATGACAAATTTATCGAAATATCATAAACAAGAGTTAGCCTGGAAGGTGTATAACAAAATGCTTGAGTTACATATTGTTCCTGATGTGTATATATACACTAACTTGATTAGTGCTCTATGCAAAAATGGAAACATGAATGAAGCCAAAAGAGTGTTTGTGGAAATGGGTGAAAATGGTTGTGATCCAAGTTTGGTAACATACAATGTGCTCATTGGAGGATTATGCAGAGCTGGGCTTTTCGATGAAGCTTTTGAGCTTAAAACATCAATGGCAGACAAGGGCTTGGTTCCTGATCAATATACTTACACAACACTCATAGATGGGCTATCCAAAGCTAAGAGATTGGAAGAGGCAAAGATGATTCTAGAAGATATGTCAAAGGTAGGCACATATCCTGACCATGTGGCATATAGTGCTTTGATTGATGGGTTCATGAAACAAGGGTGTGTAGACGAGGCTTTGAAGTTGAAAGATGAAATGTTTGTTAATGGAGTCAAGTTAAATGTTTTTACATACAATTCAATCATATCTGGGCTCTGTAAAGCTCATCGCTTTGAAGAAGCAATTGGAATATTGACAGGTATGAAAGAAAGAGGTACTCCACCTGATGTTTATTGCTATAATTCACTTATAATCGGTCTTTGTAAAGAAAAAAAGATGGAAGAAGTGCAGTCAATGTTAACTCAAATGAAGAATAATGGTGTTAAACCGAATTCCTTCACTTATGGATCGATAATCAATGGATATAGTAAAGTGCAGGATATGGAGTTTGCAGATAGGTATTTTAAGGAAATGATTGACTCTAATATAATCCCAGATCGTGTTATATTCACCACCATGATAGATGGTCATTGCAAAAAGGGAAACATAAAAGAAGCATTTTCAATATTCAAAAGTATGCTTGGAAGAAACATTCTTCCTGATGTCATCACTTACACCTCTCTCATTTCTGGGCTTTGTAAGAATGGTGATATGCAAGAAGCTTACAATTTGGTTGATGAAATGAGTCAAAAAGGGGTTCCTCCAAATATTGTAACTTACAATGTTTTGATAAGTGGGTTATGTAAATTAGGTGAAATCAAGAAAGCTAAGGAGTTATTTGATGGAGTTTCTTTTAAGGGTTTAACACCCGATGGTGTGACTTATGCTACAATGATTGATGGGTATTGTAAATCCGGGCATTTGTCTGAGGCATTTGAGTTGTTTGATAAAATAAATGAGAATGGTGTTGAACCGGATTATATTTCCTATAATGCCCTTCTCAACGGATGTTGCAAAGAGAAGGAGATCGAAAAGGCGATGCTATTATTCGACAAAATGGTGGAAAAAGGGATTGCTTCTGCTCATACTTACAACACTTTGATTGATGGGTATTGCAAGATGGGAAAGATAGTGGAAGCGGATGCTTTATTGAAAGATATGATTGAAAACAAGCAAATAAAACCGAATCATGTCACTTTCACAATCTTGATAGATTGTTATTGCAAATCCGAAATGATGGAAGAAGCAGAAGATCTTTTTATCGAAATGCAAAATCGGGGTTTGATGCCAACGATTGTGACATACACTTGTTTAGCTCATGGTTATATAAAATCGGGAAAAAAATCGAAAATGATTATGATGTTTGAGGAAATGGTGGCGAAAGGTATTAGTTTAGATAAAGTGGTGTACGGAATGTTGGATGAAGATCAAGGGAGTTTGGAGAAATCTTTTATGCTTTTAGACGATTTGTTACAAAAGGGTATTTCGGGAAAAGATGTTTATGATAAATTGGTTGATGGGTTGTGTCAAAATGGTAAATTTTCTGAAGCAGTGAAATCGATTGATGAAATTGGGAAACGTGGGGTTATGCTTAGTTTTGCTACATGTACTACTTTAGTACGTAGTTTGCATAGTGCAGGATATAAGAATAAGTTGGATGGAGTTTTGAATAGTATGGAAGGTTTTGGATGGGTCCCACAAGCATCAAGTTTAACTCACTTGATTGATCAAGATGTTGATTGGGAAAAAGATGGGCAAGTTGTATGAAAGTTTGAATTTTGGGTGAAATTGTAGGTCAAGAAAATCGGTTGCTGTTTTGGAATCAAAGAATGTGGTTCGTGTTTGTTGTGATATGAATAATAGCAATTTTCTTGATTTCGACTCGTATGATGTTGATGACAATGGTAGCAACCAATACCATGGGTAAGAATGGCAGAGTTGTTATTATATGCAATTCATAGGGGCAATTTGGTCAAGACGCAAGAACTAGTGCATGGAAATGGCGAAAGTGTACATATGACTCGAGTAAAATATATTAAGCATACAAGGCTTTAAAAAAGTTGTTGGTTGTTATTTTAGTTGCTTTGATTGTTTTCATGTTGTAGTTCGTTTGTTAAAAAAGATTTGGTGATGTTGCTTACAACTAACTCCTTGGAAAATTTGTGCCTTATGAAAAATAATCAATAGTTTTGAATATGTAAACAAAGATCACAAAAATGATAAAGTTAAAACATGAAACTATTGTTTCGTATTCTTGTAATTTTGTTCATTGACATCATACAATGACTCAAATATCTTCATAAAGAAAATTCATTTTACGAATTCAACATGTTCACAAAAGATCACCGTTTCATCATGTTAAACACAAGTTAAACATGTTTACGAAAAAAAAAAATTCATTTTAATTACATTTATTACACCCTTTCTAGTACCCCTCGTCGACCCCAACAAGATTAACCTTTTTAATGGCCCATTAAGATCTTTCAAAAGGTTTCATACTTATAACTATCCATATATTCATGACTATTGTTGTTGTATTCATAGCAAATTTGTAAGCCCTTTCCAGGAATACAAAAGTAAATATTTCCATATAACGTGTGTTTCAAACTTACGAAAAACAAGACTCAATGTACTCCACATCACAAATATTACAAGTTTAAACATTTTACTAACCCATTAGCATATTTGAGTTCTCAATGCACAAACATACCATGATAATGTACCTCAATGGATAATACATCTACATGTTGATAAAGATGCCATTGTATAATAAAATTCAAGATAAATGAGTATAGTGGCATCTGAAAACCTACCAAAATCAAAACCCTAATGTACAATTTATATAAAACAAACCAAGAAGCAAAAACTGGAGTTGTCATTATCATATTTATTAATCATAGAGTTGTCAGTTTCATCTTACTATAATCTACCAAATCGAACATTATCTTCATTTCCATGTGTCAACTTTGTATTGGATGCTTGGATTTTATTTAGATAAACTAATTTAACAATATCTTTATTCATAATGATAAAAAAAATGTAAACCATTAGAGTAAATTACCTGAATGGTCCCTATGGTTTAGTGTAGTTTGCACGTTTGGTCCCTAACTTATTTTTTTAACTTGGAAGGTTCTTACTCTTTATTTTTGTTACACACTTGGTCCCATCTTAACTAAAAAGATTATTTTGCTTTTGATTTTTAAATTTGTTTAAATAAACACCCCCCACTTTGGCTAGACAATAGATGTTATTTCATGTTTTGGTGAAGAGTATCTTAGAAGGCTCAATGAAACTGATTTAGCAAGACTACTTCATATGGGGGAAGAACATGAATTTCTAAGTACGACATTAGACATGGAAAAATTGTCCCACCACTTTGGCTAGACAACATGTAGGTAAACCAACAATCGTTTTGGAATTCGTTTGTATGACTTATGGATATGGCATGTATTTTTCGAAACACCTAACACATGCAATGACATTAATGTCCCAAACTTCGGAAACACAATTTGCTCGTTAAACATCAAGAGGCTGCCAAAAAAGATGATCGAGCTTATGGAGTTCTACAAGCTCTTTTTGCATTTCTTCCACGCCCATGTCTATTGTGGGACAAGGATATGATGGGGTAAATTATGATTACGTGTATTATCATTCATAATATGATCGTTGAGGATAAACTTATACATACTTTAACTGTTATGATCCATTCGAATTTCTAAATGACAAGTCTACAAATTGGTAACGAAGAACCTCTATTGAAGACGACGAACAAAATTTAGAATATTCTATCGGTAACGAAGAACCTATCAATAGAGCACAACTTCGCTATAACAAGGAAAAATAGAAAGTCAAGGGATAACCGGTACATTCGGTAGCCAATTACCCATTGCTATACTGGATAAGTAGAATTCCCTAACAAGGAATAATTTAAAGGAGCAATGTTGAAATAAGAAAAAAATGGAAGTATAATGATATAACAAGGAAAAATAGAAAGTATATTGGTATTTCTTGCATTTAGCACATGTAAGTATTACAAAAAAATTGGTTAATGTACAGCATGTTATATCTCCTAGTTACCAAAAATTTAAGCATTTTTTATAAGTTACTATTATGTATTTTGTATAAAGTAAATATACAAGGTCCATGGTTGACCAAAAATGAGCTGTTAACCTACTAGTCCTTGGTGCTATCTCTTTGGTGCTCGTAGAAGGGCAAGGAGTTGGATATCATCAATTCCTAATTCTGACACAAGCTGACGTGGCGTTTTACCTTCCATGTCAGCTGCTAATGGATCAGCTCCCCTATGAAAAATCAATCAAACTTGTCTTACTACTACTCATATCAACAACTCCAATACACTAATAATGTCAAATACCTGGTAAGAAGTAACTTTACAATTGCAAGTCGTCCTCTCATGATACCATGATGAAGTGGCGTTTGACCTTTTGAATCACAAGCATTAATATTTGCTCCATGTTGTAACAGCAGTTCCACCATGGTACAGTCAGCAGTTTGGGAAGCCAAGTGAAGAAGGGAACAACCATCTAGGGCTTCATTGGTTAAGGGATCATTAGTCCCTTTTATTGAGGCTGAAGATCTTGAGGAGGAACTGTCTGTAAAATAACTTTTTAAGTAGTCACATTCATATTCATGTTCATGGTCAATCTCAACTGTAGTTAGGTCTTGTGAGTGTGTGATGGCACCATAAGTGGCATTCACATCTGCATTGCATATGATGATAAGAAGGTAAACTGCTTTCTTGTCATTACAACACACATTTTCCCATAATTGTTGTTCCAGTGTCATAAGATGATGAGGGTTTATTACTTTTTGAACGTATCTCTTTTCTGAATACTGCAATTACAAGATATGATGTTTTGGTGTTAATTTTATTGAAGAAAAATGGGTCAAGTAGTAAAGAATGGAAATGGACTTGCCTTTGCGTGAATGAACTTTTCCTTTGTGGATATATGATCATCACAACTAGGTTTTCCCAAGGACTCACCTGATTTATCAGACTCCATGGATCTACAATCATATAAGAATCACAACATCAAGATAAAAACTTGATTCTGCTCATTTATGCATTAACACAACTGTTTCCTTGGATGGAAATTAACAAAAAGGAATCAGATTCCTTCATGATTGGTCCATTGACTCCATTCCAACAGCTCCAATTCCATCATACCAAAGTTTAGCATTTGACATGACACTTTAGCTAACCCAAAGAAAGAGGATATAATAATTTGTATTAAACTAATAATTTACCTCCAAGATAATTCATCATCAGCCTGATGACTTCTTTTTCCAGTCAACATTTTCTCCCATACTGAATTGGCAAATACATTCCCTAATGACTGGAACAGCTTAATCACAGAAGGTTCCCATGCCTTCACATCAAGTTCCAAAGATCTTACCTACACAAAACCAATGCCAGATTAAAAAAAATCCCCCAAATCCAAAAATAACAAATTCAAGGGTAAAACTGACCTTGGATATATGAACACCAAGATTGCGATGAACACCTGAGCACTCGATGCAGATAAGAACTCCAAGATTTAAGGAAGCCCAGTCTGGATCAGGTGCACCACAATCAGCACACTTATCATTACCAACTATTTTTCTCAATGCATCGACTGGTTTTTCATTTCTTCCACCATATCTTAATTGTTGGGAGCTTTTACAAGCACGCATCATGTTTCTTGAACTCCTATCTTTCTCACTGCTACATTCTGCAGATGTCTTCCTATCTTGACTCATTGGGATTTCTCCTAAACTACCTTCACTCGTAGGACTTGTACATAGATGCTGCAAAAAAAATAAAAAAATAAAGTATGTTTATTGATAATAGCAATGTACTTACATTTTACTGTATACCCTTTTGAAACCTACCATCTCAGGTGTTTGGGAGCTTAAGAGTGAAGCTATTACTCCGTTTATTTTTTCAATCCAATCCATTTGTTCCAGTGAGCTTTCTGCCTGGATATAGTTTAGAGGATCATAATTCAATTGGAGGTTGACTTATGATGATGAGAAACACAAACAAAGTCAACTCACCTGTAAAGTGTATATCTTCATTGGAGAGATAATCCTGAAACAAAATCTCAAATCTGATTGTTCAGCATCAGGTTTTATTGTAGATGTAAGCAAGTTGACTGTGTGGCGTGCCACATCCTGCACCCCACCATGATAATGAGAAGATAGCCACCTGCTGAGTATACCAGGCCCAGGCTCAGCTGTATTACCTCTCTGAACACCAGATCCCTGAAATTTTTTTATATAAAATATAAATAAAGATAAAGATTGTGATTATTTATCAAGAAGAAAGAATCTGATTGACTTACAGAAGGTCTGGCTAATTGCTTGCGATAGTAATACAGCATCCCTCGGTTATCAAGTACAAAGAATCTTCTCTTCCAATCTCCTCTCAAATTTGAGGAGCGTTTTGATAGATATCCTTGTTTGATGTTTTGAACCTAAACTATTGAAGTCTTAGCAATTGGAAAATAAAGATAAAATACAATTCTAAAAGACTACAAGTGTTATGGAATAGAACAACAGAGTATTATTATTATTATTATAATGTAAAAGTAAAAGAGTACCTTCCCCTCTGCACCAGACTGCATAACTGCGTGTATTACTTTATGGGAGTTTCTTGGATATTGTTGTGCCATGTCACCATTACCAACAGAAATATTAGAAGATATTCTGCTTCCCACTCCCACATCAATGTGTTTCTTGTATTCTTGGACCCTTTCATTTAGTGTTTGTTGTTCTGAATAGTAGCTTTGTCTAGCTTTCTGTGCATGTAACAATACCTGTAAAAAGAGTTGAAAAAATATAACTTTTGTGAAGTAGAAGTCAAAAAGAATGAAAACATTGTAAGTTCCAATTTATCAGTAATAAAACCTGTTGGATGTAAGGCTGCATTTGAATTAACAACTCATATCCCTACAAAAACAAAAGGGTTATTAGTTTGGAAGAAGAGAAGTGAAGAAGATTGAAAAAAGGAGAAAGAAAAAGAATGATTTACCTGTTTGAAATAATGAAGATGGGCGTCCATTGCCTCACCAAGAGACTCCACAATCTCAAATCTTTTCTTTGTTTCAACGCTTGAAAGAGCAGAAACCTGAAGTTATATTGGATATGACGTTATTACCCTTCACATTTGATAAAAGAAATGTAAATGGAGGGGGAGAAATGTGTAAATACCAGATTGAAGCGAGCTTGCTCAAATGTCATTCTTGCATTATAAAGTTCCTGGAACGTCTCTCTACCAAATTAGAATTCCAAATGACGATGTTACCCATGTATAACTAACACCGAATCATTGCATTATATTTTAAATTATTTTTATACGAGACAACACATATACCTCCTCCATTGCAGCAGCTATTTCTGTTCGAGTACTTTTTCTCAATGATAAAAACTTGTCACGTATCTGCAAAGCAAAATGTGCAAACATGATGACATGTCAAATAACTCAAATGTAGTTACATTACATTCATCTCTTTGATAAATAAACAAGTATAGAAAAATTAAATACCTGGCTATAAACAGCATCAGCCTTATCAAAACGTTTCCTAGCTTCCTGTATCACTCAAAAATAAAAAATAAAAAGTATTAAGAAAAATGTTGAGATAAATATTATGAAATATAGTAAATCACAGAACCTTGATATCTTGCAGCTCCATATTGGTGAAGCGAATTAATCTATCGCTTAGTGTATGCTCAATCTGGAAAAAGACAAATGATAAGAAAAAAAAAATTAAGATTAAAAGTGTATGCTCAAATCTGGGATTAGTGTTGCAAATTCCATAACTATGTTATTTTACATATGTAAATGAAAGATCTTTTTCATATAATGATTATATTGTAAAAGCTAAGTTCAATGTATTGGTTATGTCCACTAAAAGTAAAAGACCCCATTGTGTATATGTAGGTGCTTGAGTGGTATTTTGGTAAGAAATGAAAAAATAAAAAATTAAGACCTTTGATCGAAGACTTTCTTTATATGTCCCAATTTCTCTTAAAACAACTGCAAACTTTATCATGTCAGGACCTGGGAACATAAAAGCAAATGGTATTACAAAGTTTTTTTAGTCAATGTAAAAGAATTCATCCTAAAGCTACAACTTTATGTAACTGAAATTTTTAACTTTACCTCCAAAAGCCATAGAAATAGGATCAGGTCCTCCACCAAAACTTTCAAGGGAGCTTGCAAAAGCAGCATCCCTTTCATTTGCTTCTGTTAGGCCTTCTCTGTAAAACCCAAAGAAGAAGTAACATTTTCACAAACACATGGTGGGCATGCAGCAAAGTCAGAGCACAAAATGATCAACAATGCAATCATGGTAGAATATTATTGTTGTTGTAAAGATCTTTTGAATTCTATGTGTGTATTTCTTTTGTGGAGTTTAATAATTTTGGATGGTTAAAACGTATGCAAGTTGCTAATAGAAGAAACAAATAAATCCTTACGTGTACTTTCGACAGCCTTTATAGAATTTTGAACCTCTCTCCCTTAGTGTCTCTGCAATTTCTTCCAAACACTGGATCTGCATTATGGAAAATTATACATTCACATGTTATATACTTGAAAATGTGAAATACTTTGTCAAGGAAAAACCAGTGTCTTTCAAGTATACAAAATAATTGGCATACTTAAACAGCATTTCAATTATTGTAAGCACATATATACTTTTGAAACATGCTTAAGGCCAACTAAATGTAATGGATTATGGCATTATGCAATGCTAGTCAGGTTGCTCTCAGCTCTATGTAAGACTAGACATTTGTAAATTACTTAATTGATGCTTGTGATATTGGAATTATAACTAAAATTGATACTGGAATCATGACAAAATTTGTTTAGGTTAGCTTGTTAGTGTTGGTAGGGTTGTCAATTTGGTAGTTCATTTTGTTAATTTTCTTTTGTTGATTTACTTATTCTTCAAATTCATATTCGAATCAATGTGTTGATCTCTAGGATACAAGTTTATATGAATCATAAATGTGTTGATATCTAAAACGTAAATCTCTCAGTTTTATTTGATATCTAAAACGTAAATCTCTAGGATACAAGTTTATATGAATCATAAATGTGTTGATCCTGTTGGTAAAAACTACTCTGCTTGCAATCTTTCAGCCTTGATGATTAATAAAGTCGAGGAACAGAACAAGTAAAATGGAACGACTATTATTACTCAAAGCCTTATTCATAAGAAAACAGAATCAACTTTCTGTAAAGTGGTAAAAGAGGTTCAAACCAGAAAGTAATTATCTACAAGGGGATGGTTTGATGAATCAAAATGCAACAAGATAAGGTATTCACTTTCTATTATACAGCTTTCCAGTTTGGCATCGAATCAAACCAATATGTCCCCTCATTGGGCAACAATACTATCGATTTGATTGACAAAAGGAGCATACTATTTCTCAAAGACATAACAAACAACAAAAAACATAAACAACATGCTTTCAAATAGGTAAATCAAAATGCTACAGATAGCAACACAAACCTGTTGACGAAACATTGGGGAATCGTCGAGTTTGGAGAAATACATCATTGCCTCCTGCTGCATTGATCCCAACCTCCAGCATTAGGGGGCACGCAACTACTTCTGAAATAATATAATCCTCTTCTGCGACGCCCTAATTTCGATCACAAAATGAGAATGGATGGATACCCACTCTTCAATACATCTTCTTCTTCCCGACCCTTCAGTCTCGATCAATTCAGAATGAAATTGAATAATAGGGTTAAATACAATTGTATGATCGTGGCCTTCAGAATCGATGGCGGATAGGAAGGATGTAGGAACAATAACAGGAACGAACAACGTAGAGAGAGAAAGAGTGAGTTTGGGATCATTTTTGAACGAAAGATGCGGGAAAATAGGGAGGAGGGAAAAACAGAGGTAGCGAGTTTTCGTGGATGCCATTGAAGTCTCCGATGTTTCCTGTGTTGCTCCTACTCTCTGTGGAGATATCAAAGTTAAGCCGAGGGTTTACAAGGGGCTACGGGCATCTACGGTGGTGCGCGCCAAAAAGCTGTAACATGCAAACAACCAATAACAATTTTTTATTTATTATCATAAAATTCTACTTTTGACATCTTATAGATTCTCATACCATTAGTTTGATTATTGAACACAATTCTTAGTACATCTAATGTATTTTTAAGTGTAATAGATGGTAATAATAAGAGTAAATTACATTTTTGGTATTAGTGGTTAACACTCTTTGACGGTTTTGGTCCAAGTTTTGTAAATTGATATGAATAGTCCTTATAGTTTCAAAATGCTACATGCTTGGTCCATTTGATTGTTAGCCGGTTAGGGTCCATCAATTGTCCTCACATGCACTACACATGAGGCCATTTTTGTCTTTTTATTCGTCTCTCTACTCATGGGCATATCCTATAACACGAGCTATCCCTCAAATTTTGCCGTTAAATGTAAATTTAGTGAAAATTCATCAAAATCCGTCATAAATCAGTTGGAAATCTGTCACGAATCCATTGGCAGTCCATCATAAAGTCTGATAATTGTGAATTTAGTATAATTCATCGGTTTCATGATTATTTTGTGATAGAAACTGCATTCGGAAATGAGTATTTTTTTCTAGTAGTGCAACCCCTAAAAAATTTGTGCAACCCTTGATTTTTCATTCTGGATCCGCTACTGCTTCTATTCCTATCATCTTTGCCAAACCTAGAGCAACTCCATAATCGTATACATTGGTTGAGATTACTCTAGGATATGACGAATGATCACATGGCTTCCATACACACAAATCACAAATCATAATTTGGTGTTTATTTGGATGATCGATATACATCTTTGAAACTATAGAAGAGAAGGTAAAAGGGGAAGAACATAGTATAAGGGGAAAGATGGTTGTTTCAATTCATATAGACGTTATAAGAGACATGTAAAAAGATAGAAATGTTCTCATGTACGGTTCACATGAAGGCTTTTAAAGAAGGGTCATTGACCATAATGACTAACGACTAAAAGAGTCAAGCGTGTAACATTTTAAAACCATAATGACTATCCACATCAATCTTTCAAAACTTGGAATAAACCATAGAAAAGTGCCACCAACGTGACCGGATTTGTAATCTACTCTAATAATAATATGATTGTATAGACAAAATAAAAACATATATCCCAGACAGGAAGGAAGTCGAAAAAAGATCTGCTTCAGTTGAGATTACTTGTTTAAGTCAAGCAATCGTAGCAACCGGAAAGAGTTAGCTATGAAAATTCTACCTCCACTGGCCTCTTCTGGCTAGTTAGTTTGAAAAACATCACTCTTTTACTTAGACAAACTAGCCAGTTAAGTTATATAAGTAATTGAGTAATAAAAAAAGAATTACACTCGTACTTTTATAACCTTTATTGATATATTTACTATAAAGTTTTGTTTTTATTTTATCCTATTCCAATATATATTTTGAAATTGTATACTTAGTAATAACGGTGTTATCTAAATACAAAACAAATTGTATTATTATGATTGGGTAAATTTATTATAAAATATAATATCATAGTAAAATTTTAAATGTAATATTATAATTAGATTGATTTTTTTAAATCGATTATTTTAATAAAAAAAATTTTAATAGTACGATGATGTTGTAATTGTAGGGTTCCATTGAAATGACATAGCAAAATTATGATAATTAAACATGAATCAAACGATAAGTTTGCAAGTAATATTTTCAAAACTTTTGTATATTATTGAATTGTGAACTTGTGCATCAATTCAAATCAAAGTTAAAAGTAATGAATACACGAAGTAAATAATTCTATTTAAGCTCAAAATTGATCTGGAATGTAAGTTGCTTATAGTGAATTGCTAACAAAATGTTATGAGCATGTAAAAAACGATATAAGATTTATGAGATAAAATGGTCATTTTGGATCGTTGACTTGAAATAATTGTTTAATTCTATAGATCAAGTTTTGATGCCACATGTAGGATCTTATTGAAATGTCATAGTGGAATTATGATAATCAAACATGAATCACATGATAAATTTGCAAGTAATCTTTTCAAAGTTATTGTATATTATTGAGTTTTACTATGAACATACAAAGAGCTTTGGGTTTAGCTCAACTAAACTAATTAGGAGCTTATGGGAAGGGTTAAGTCTTAATCACATCATTAAAACCTATATATAATGGGTAAATACAAACAATCTATAATAGTCAAACACTACTATACAAATCAATACATAAATGTCACATCAATCAAATATTATTTACTTGACAATAATGAAAAAAGATAAAATAACTAAAATATTTTGATCCTTACATTCGGCTATAAAGTATTTTCTAATCAACTAAGCACCCGGCTCCAAAAGCACAAAAACATTTTTTTGTATAGAATAGGCAAATCAGTAATGTTTGACAAGGAACTTTTAAAAGCTTTTGCCTTTTAACCGCAAAGAAACTCGAATTAAAGAAGAAAAAATTGTTTAGAATTTTACTATATAATCAAAAAACAATTTCAAGTAGTCTCTCGTTTCTTTTCGGAGCACCGGCCCCGGCCGCCGATACTGTTACCATGCTTACCAGCTCTATGAACTTTTATATATTGCTATTTTACATGTTACAAAACTTTACAACTAGTTTTGTGACATTTCTCTACAAACAAAAGCTACAACTTACAAGTAAGAGTTAGTTTTGCCAAACATATTTGAATACAAATTCTACCTCCAGATATAATTTTGGATCATATTAAAATCACTCCCCTATGGCTTTTATATAGCTTTATGTCTAATCAAAATACACATAATCATGATAATATTCATACAAAATGTTCATTTGAAATCACCAAAAATATTTTTATAAATAGGAATTTCTCAAAACTATAAGATAGGAAAGGCTTGGAATAGAAGCACACCATAATTATCTCATATTTTAAAAGAAAGTGACATACCAATAGAGTTCTTAGATCTACTACCATCACATAAATAGTCTCCTATCATTAATCAACTGTTGCTTTCCAACCCTTTTCAATTCACTACAAAAGCTAATCTCATAAAAGTATTATTGTTCAATTTCACTCTTCAGAAAATGGTTCACAAAACAACACACAGTATACGACAATACAAAGAGCCGCGGGATTTAACTTACAAAACTGTCCAAAATCTAACAAGTCTGACCAAAAATCAACACAAAGTAAAAATAAATATATTATCCAAATTCTGATTTGTATAAATTAACCCCAAAGCCTACTAATAAAACCACCCTTTTTATCTTTCTTCATTCTATTCTCAATTGATGGGAAATCAATTGAATTATAAGCAAGGTCCAGAACAATTGGGTTCCGAGGAATCGCTTGAAAACCTGGCTGGTATGCTGCAATACGTGGAGCCACCCTTGTGCTTGTATCAGCAACACCCGACTCATACACATCCAACTTCTCTACCAGAAACTTTTCACCCTGAAATTTTTAATCCAGTCACATCACATGTATCTTTACACTGAAACTTTTCTCCCAAATTACTTAAATGCCCCTACTCACATTCTGTCATTTCAGACTGAAACTTTGCAGAAAAACACCAACTAAAATGAACCACTGTCATATTTTGTGATTTCATGACTGAATCTTTGCCAAAATTACTAAAACGCCCCTAATTGAACTTTGTAAGTTTAGACCAAAACTTTGCCAAAATTACTAAAATGCCCCCAATCATATTTTGTGATTTCCAGACTGAAACTTTGCCAAAATTACTAAAATGCACCCAATCATATTTTGTGATTTCCAGACTGAAACTTTGCCAAGATTAATAAAATTCCCCTAATCACATTTTGTGATTTTAAGACCAAACTTTGCCAAAGTTACTAAAATGCCCCTAATCGGATTTTGTAAGTTTAGACCGAAACTTTGCCAAATTACTATAATGCCCCTAATAATAATTTGTGATTTCAGACTGAAACTTTGCCATATTACTAAAATGCCCCTAACTGCATTTTGCAAATTTAGACTGAATCTTCTTTTAAAACGACTAAAGTGCCCCTAATCATATTTTGTAATTTTAGACTGAAACTCTGCCCAAAAAAAACAAAGAAAAGCTGTTTCATACCTTCTTATCATTCCCATTTGCAGATATTGAAACAGCAGAAATCTTTTTTGAAAGATCATTAGGAGCCTTCTCATGTTCCATAATCCCCATTGCATGTTCAATACAGCTGTTGGATCTGCAATCTTTATATAATGTCTCCAATTCTTTCTCCATTGCCTATTATTATTTAAAAAAAAAAATCATTTTATTAATAACTTTTATTTTTGTTTAGTTAGAAGCCTGAAAAAGGGTAAACACCTGATCATGTGTAGCCACACTTTGAACTTTCTTTAGGGCTTTTTCAGAGAGAGAACGCGCAAGAGAAAACAAAGAGTATGCTTCTGTCCTCTTCCCAGCTGAACTATAAGATTTAGCCAAGAAAAAACACCTGCAAAAAAAAAAACGGAGAAAAAATAATCTTGATGAATATAAAGGGTTGTTTGGTTTGCCTGGAATTGGAATTCGTGATTCCATTCCATGGCATGTTTGTGTTTGGTTGCAATTCCTTTGACAGATTCCATTCCTTCCAAAAAAATTATAATATTACAAAACCAAATGTTATGCAAACCTTTCTGCTCGGAAGATCAAACTTTTGAGTTCACATTCTTCAGATAACGCAACTTCTTCCTCTTTTCTGTCTCTTCCAGAACTCAACAAGTCAGAAAGATCTGCTGTATTCTGAAATTAACAACAAAATAAAAACATATATAACAGTAGCAACAAAACCATTATCATTTAAAGACATTAAATGAATGATTACCTGTAAAAGAAGATCATACAACCTCACAAGTTCTTCAGGTTTTGTAACCTTTTCATTTTTTTCATCACGTGTCTTGCTTAGTTTACTCTTGGCAATACTAACCA